CTTTCGGGGATAAAAGGCGTGATGTTATGTTATGTTTAATATGGATATCACTTTTATTCAAGTGTTTATGTTTTATAATCAAAAACATTTATAATTCCTAATTGAATCTTTATAACACGCCGAGGAAAATAATAAAAATACAAACGTTGATTGATTTTATCAGTAATACTATACAACATTCATTAATTATTCAGTGTTATATGCACCTTCTAACCACAAAAATAGATAAAGTTAATAAAATTACGTCAAAATTTATACGAAAACTATACTATACGAGTTAAACTCTGTTTACCCTTTTTTTGAGGTAAGACATATAATTTTGTCACTTTAGTAATTATTTCTAAGATCCCATTAAGTAGTTAATTTATACCCTCATCTGTTATATATCAGTGATAGGTACTCATTGACAAATTGAGAACAGGATTGCAGATAAGTTGTCGTAAGTTGAACTGACATGTATTAAAATGTAAATAAATCTAATTGAATAAAATCGGACTCCAAATAATACGCAACACATCCGAAATCTACGACGGTGAATATTGTTTTGAATGCGGTAGATAATATTCTGATCTATTGAGACAGATTTAATGAGCGAACTGGCAACGTCGCTGTTATTTTTTTGAGGACGCCAAATACGCGGACTTATACTCAGAAAATCCCAAAAATATACAGCTGTGGATATACGCGCTACAGCAGCGCCCTATCTGCGCTGAGATTTCTTCGAGAACTTTTCAAAATACTATAACAGCCATTGAACCGATCTTTTGGCCTCTGTCGATTTTTAACCTACGTGTAGCCAGCACCAAAAGGACCTAAGTTGCATAGGCCAACAAAGTGGCGTCCGGTATGCGGACGTCAAAAGCTGGTGGACGCCAGATTAAATGCACTTTCGCCTTCATGGGACGTCCAAACGATTGCGGGATGTAAATATATATATACAGGGCGTATAGGTATATATATATATATACCTCTACGTACCTATGTAGGTATGTACCTATGTGCGCGATTATCTCGCGGTTGGCTAAACCGATTTTGATGTGGTTCTCAGAAAAGTGTTTGTTACACCTAGGAAATGGTTTTAGTATATTAATTAACCGAATAAAAAAAAAGAGGGATTGAAACTGATTTTTTTAAACGTAGTTTTAATTAGTATTCGGATTCGGATCAAACCAAACAAGAGCTCAGATAAGTCTGTGAGCTCTAGTATCAACCGTAGTTGGTAATCCTTACTTCCTTACTTATCCTTACTTCCTTACTTATATTAAAAATGGGAAAGTGAGTTTGTTTGTTTGTTTGTTCCACTTTAACGCCGTAACTACTAAACCGATTGCTTTGAATTTTTGCAGACGTAAAGTTAGAAGTCCGGATTAAATAATAGGGTACTTTTTTTTTACTTTTTATCCCGGAAAAATTTGATATTCCCGAAGGAAAACAAAAGTATTGGTATAAATGGCGCTGTGTGTATTGGTATATTATGTCACATTGGCTTTTTATCCTTTTGTGACGCGAGCGAAGCCGCGGGTAAAAGCTAGTTTGCAATAAATTTGGCTCTTGAGTAGGTATGTTAGTGGTTCAAAAGTTGCATGCAGGATTCGTCAGACCACAATCTATTCATTCGCGAAAGACCTATCAATTATGTAGATTCCTATAGCAAGTAGTAGCGGGAGCATAATACATTTAAGACTCCAGAGTGTTTAGCGAGAGTTTATTTTTACGTTAAAATAATCATAAAGTTACCTCGTTTAGTCATTTCATTGGTTGGTTAACTTGTAGCAGCCAATGAGAAGGCTAAACGCGGCAATTATTCGATCGCGTTAGCGTAAAAAACTCCCACTAGGACCACGACCACGACCTCTTGCTCGGCAGTCGCGCTTGCGACTATCGGCTCGATTAATGAAGGAGTTTTATAGGTAGCAGGTAAATTGTTTGCCTATATCATATATCATCTAGTATCTAAGTACTCGCACAAGTACTTCTTATTAAGGAAAAAGTCTGCATACGTCAAAATATTGACTGAGAGATTCTTGAAAATCATTAAATATTAGACAGAGTAGCCGGACGTAACCGTGCCGGCACCGGGCACCGATTGTTACGATAATTTCACAAAAACAGGTTCTTGTTTTGCTACACAGTTTTTTTGCATCAAAAATCTATTTTGTTTAATTTGATTCCGTCTTGGTGTGTGTAATTTCTTTTATCCTTATCACGATACTTGGGAATTACCTTCGTTCATCTTCGTGATTAGGAAGATGTAAATTACCGTATTAAGATTAGATTTACATACAATATTAGAATATCGTTAGTGCTAGTGTTTGTAGACTTTACGACTGATGTGACGCAGTAAACAAATGAGTAGGTATCTGTATGCAACGCTGTATCCGGTTTCGGTATAGTTTTGAAAGATGAGACCTGCAGTTCAGAAAAAAAACGTTAATAGGTTTAAGTTTGCCGTCGTAATATAGACTTAATTATTCTATCATCATTTAGTTGATTGTAAACGACTATGAGTAAGATGATACACGCTGTCGGTAAGCTCACTACCTACCGGAAAATTAGAAAATCTAATAATATAAATTTCTGAATCTACGTGAAGATTTATTTAAGGTAGTTAAGCCTCTGGTAACCTCACGCACACGACGAAACATAACGCAAGCGTTATTTCACGTTAGATTTCTGTGTGGCCGTGGTATCACTCCGGTCGAGCCGGCCCATTCGTGCCGGAGCAAATTAATAAAACATCCCACAAAAAACATTTTCTTGTAAAATGTCACTAATACAAGACCATATACCTCCCTTATGCTGTCAAGAAGTAATCAGATCTTATGTAGGAGTGTCTCTACATAGAATGATTACATGTTACTTACTTGACTAAATTTCTAACCCATTTATAATTTACATTAATTAAGTACCGGTAAAATGCTTCAGCCGTAACTCGTAGCCATTTGTAGCGCTTGGGTTCTAGTGCCATTAATTAATAAATATAAAAACGATTGTAAGTTGTAAATATAACAGAAAACTAATTTATACTATGCGCTATGGGCTCGCTGCCATTGCAGCGGTAAGTCCCCTCTTTGAGGAGTGGCTTGAGAGACGCTACGGCGTCCTCACCTACCGCCTGACGCAGGTCCTCACCGGACATGGAAGTTTCGGGAGGTACCTGTGTCTGATGGGGCGGGAGGAAACGCCCGGGTGTCATCACTGCGAGGACCGCCCTGAGGACACGGTGGAACACACTGTAGCGCAATGCCCTGCGTGGGCTGAGCACCGCCGTGCCCTCAGGGAAGTGATCGGCGATGGCGACCTCTCGCGTCCGGGCCTAGTGCAGGCCATGATGCGGAGCGAGGTGGACTGGGATGCCGTCTCCTCCTTTTGCGAAGCAGTCATGCTAGCTAAGGAGGAGGCGGGACGCGTGAGGCAGCGAAGCGCTGCCTCCTCGCATCCCAGCCATCGCGAAGGACACACCGGGCGTCGGGGATTGCGGGACGATCTCCGGCCACCGTAAGCGCGGGCCTGCGGACGGCGAGCATGGGTGGCTCCCCGTCCGACCAGAAACAGACCCGAGCGTGCGGCACGTCGCGTTCTGCGCGCGCCTCAAAGAGCTATCAGACCACCACAGATGGGGCCCAATAGGGCCGATGCCGATTCGGAGTCGCGGAGAACGTAACGGATAACCGGGGCTCCGGGTCGACGTGCAGGAGAAGGAACGGGGTGGTTTTTAGTCAGTAAGAGTCTGACACTCCCTTCCGCCTCACCCAGGCGGGAGCAGTAATTCGATGATTTTCCCCCCTTAAAAAAAAAAAAATTACTATGCGCTACGAGCTACGAACAATCCGCTACAAACTATGCGCTACGAGCTACGAACAATCCGCTACAAACTACGCGCTACGAGCTACGAACAATCTGCTACAAACTATGCGCTACGAGCTACGAACAATCCGCTACAAACTACGCGCTTCGATCTACGAAAAACCAGCTACAAACTATGCGCTACGAGCTACGAATATTCCGCTACAAACTACGCGCTACGAGCTACGAACTATCTGCTACTAACCTTAAACAACGCGTAACCAGCTACGATCTACTACGAAACTCAAACTATGTGCTACGAGCTGCGGCCATCTATGTGCTACGAAGATCGCAATAAATGCTACAAGATACGAACAATTTGCTACGAACTTCGAACTTCGCTACGATCTCCGAACAGCGAACTACGCGCCACGAGTTACGAACTATACGCCACGAGCTATGGCGTAGTACTTCCTTTATGATGTCGTAACTGTGGTTGCGCATGTCGTGTTAGGATTTTGGTTCTACATGAGATCTGATTAGTTTTGCAGTACAAGGAATCTTGGCAGTTTTTTTTTATGGCCTAATCCGGTAAACGAGCAGACGGATCACCTGATGGTAAGCAATCGGCGTCGCCCATGGACACCTGGAACACCAGTGGTAATATTTTGTTTGAAAATGTAATTGTTTCAGACTTCTGGTTATTTTTTGATATCATAACCGTATCTCAAAGGTATATTTGTATAATTGTGTAAGAACTATGCAATTGAAGCTTAAGGGTTGAAGCCTACCAATGACTGTCTAACGTATTGTCTCATACTTTTTCAATAATTAATTTCCTCGCATAAGATGAAATTAATTGTAATACGGAACTTGTAGGTAAGTGCTTGTTCTTCAGTAAAAATACTGAAGTAGAATTGTACCATTTTCAAGAATACCTACAGCAAATCATTTATATCGCGTATCGGTTTATGTGATAATAATAAAGTCTGTAAATTAATACACACTTTATTGTCCATAAATCGTGAATCATCCCATTCTGATATGATCTGATTGTAACAGCTGAATCCTCTTCATGAAATTGCCTTAATCGATTCTAAAATGACATCCACAGCTCACAGGAAGTGATGCGGTGAACTATTCTCAACCAAGGCCAGGCAGGAGTAATAAATGATTCTGTTATGTTTGTACTGCAGTTGTTGTATCTTCGTATTGTTAAGTTGCCCGAGGTTCAAAAGAAACCCGCCGATTGTTATTTTATTTTACTTAGAATGGCTAATCTGTTATTCGGCATGGATGAAAACAAAATAGTTTGAGAATAGTTGTCCGTTTGACCCGAAGATCCACGAATCCGTAGCGGGAAGCCCGCGAGTCGTCGGTCAACAGAGATATGTGCACAATATGTGTGTACTTAAGCCGTTCGCGAGTGGCGTGCTATCGAGTTTCGCGGCGGACGACGACGAGCACGCACGCTCCCCACACGCGCTCCAGTGACGATAGACTCATTGCTGAGTGAGGGTGGACGTGGAACGTGCCAGAGACTGAGGGACAATTGGTGCAATCATCTCGTTGAGCGTAAACAAACGAGTAAGTACGGGTCCGCCTTTATGTAACCAGAGTAACAACGTCTCGGCCGACTAGCTGCCGGTATTTTAAAATATCAATGTTTTGTTGTTATTTGTGAATATATCGAGGTAAACGATTGATTCCGCGAACACCTAACAGTATTGTAACTGTCCAAACGGGAACCGGTCGTCATTGTGACTACGTAAGTACCTAATCATTGAGTTCATACATACATAGTTGGTAGCATTATTTCCATTCGAGAAACTAATGGATAGTTCTGATTTTACGAACTCTATCACAACAAACTTAACTTTTACTTGGGTGAGTTTGTAATGTACAGTACTTAAATGCTTCACAATCTAAATTGTGTTCTTAATTTTAATCACGGATATTTTTTTTCATAAAGTCGTATTGTTTAAAAACTTCCGTCAATTGATATTACTTTGATTAACTTAAACACCAATTACAATGAACATAGACCATGTACACAGGTGCGAGTTCCACATTCTCATAGGCTGCTTGCTAAACTGTATATAGATTTGCATATAGATATGCTTGTTCGTGTGTTCGTAACTCGTTTCTGATGGAGCCAGTGGATGTCAAATTTATGTTTTACTGACTGTCCTGTTAATGGTATATAGATTTTCGTTTTCTTTGGAATCTTGTTTATCTTTGGATTCAATAATGTACTTAATTAAGTAATTAATAAAAACTAAGCAATTTGAATCGACTACCAACGTATCAAATCCAATAAATTATTTAATTCCTCTATTTGGTAAATAAAACCAAATAATTTACCTAATCGTAAGAGTTCAATATTTACTGTTACCGTGATCTGAGCAGCGTAACATAGGATTATTGTGTAACAAACAAATGGACGGTCTGTTTGTAAACAGTATGTCAAATATGTGAGAATACTATTACAAGAATGGAACTCGATAGCCTGCTGAAACCACAATTTATCTCACTCACAGATTAATTAGACACTAAAAAGTCCGACCGAATTGACCTAACTGCATCATACAAGGTACCTATTTTCTTGTAGTCTTTTTAGGTCTCTGAGAGATTTTCGATTAACTTCCGATTTCAATCATCGATCTTAATCTAAAAACTTTAGATCGATCTTGATGTTTGACAATAACTAATATCAAAAATCAATCTTTTCTTTATCTAAATATTTTCGATACAAGAAGTACTCGCGGTGTTCGCGGTTAATAAAAATTCAACAAAAAGATTTTTTATTTAAGTTTTCGTATAGATATTGAAATCGGGAAATAATTACCTAGTTTATAAAGATACCATGATTCAGTTTAATTGAACGTGATCTGTCAAGTTTTTAGCGGATCTTTTTCATAATCCTGAATTGATTTTTGTCCCTTTACGGCCTTGATTTGTATGTAGATCTTTTCCCCTGGCGCATATTTTTTTATATGTATTTTGTTAGGTAATATGCATTGCATTACCTTTAATTTAACATTTTGATTGAATCTTTTTTACCAATATATTTTAATTGCTGTTTTACGGATATTAAGTACATACAATTTCACGCAATCTGTCTGCAATCATCAGTCTAGGTATGTTATAACTGTTAGAGCCGTATTGCATGTATTTTAAAAAATGTAAACCGACTAAACGGGGTGCCATTTTGGTTTATAATTTTTGATTTTTGTATATTCACTGGTTTTTCAAAAACGCCTGGACCTTACGAAAAATAGTTATTGTTTTATGTTTTTATATTTTGGCGGTTTACAGTAAAAAATCGCGAATATGTTCTTAAATAATATCAAAATCGTGACCGACAGATTTATAAAAGGATACAAAATTACAAAAACATCTATAGAAAAAGAATGTCTGTTTGCAAAGAAAAAAAGGAACTCATTAATCATAAAGCTAGCATGTTTTAAACTCAATAATAATTATAGTTAAAACAATTTTAAAAATTATACTTCATTGGTCGCAAGTTAACAAAGGGTTTGATTTTATATTTTGAAATTATTTTTTTTTTTAATCTCTTTCGTGACAATGACGATAAATAACAGTTACAAATTAATCGAATGGTGCACCTCTGCACAAAAATAAGTATAACTTAAAAAGTAATTATGTAACATGATTGGCGGCTCATGTTATTTTGTTTATTTTACATTCTACTTTTATTATATTTCGTGATAATATGAACGTGCATGCAAGGTCGAGGTCTTTAGGTGACGACTTGCGATTGTCACGTGATGTAATCATTTACCTACAGACACTAGAGCACATCAACCGCCACCCAGTCTGTCTTTTGCAACGGAATTTTAACTTTAAGGTTTTGATATAACGTTGAATATCTATTGATGAAGTTTGGGATAGCTTGATATCCATTATGATAGTAACGAAAGACGCAATGCTTTAAAAATGCGACTTGATCAGCAGGTGACAATCTTTACAAGTATTTCTAGTTTTACATACATGCAGTCAGAACACTCAAGTTGGGATGAGTAGACTAAAAACGATTAAGGTTTTGTTAAGAAAAGAATAGGCAGGCTCTACCAGAGAGATACCGCGAACGCACAGAATCGACGTGGACGTCTGAAATAAAAAACTGGATGCAAAATGCGCAGTCTACCTGGTAACTGGGAGAAGTTAATTGTATGTTAGATTGTGAATATTTGTGTATGTGTAGATTTATAATCTACATTCCTTATGAAAGCCAATAAAGGTGATGGTGCTCTATATTTATATAGCAATAGACCGTTATACACTACTGCAACCAATTTAACAATCTGCACGTTACGACACCTAACTGCAGTTTGCAAGTTAATGAGTTTATGACGATACACTACAGCTTACAACAATAACTTACCTTATTGCAAAATGTATCTAATGTGCAGTCGTCAGATTCTATTGATAGATCGCTGTTTATCCTTACTAATATTATAAATTGGAATGTCTAAACCGGAGGAGGAGTATTGTATGTTTAATTGTCCAAACCGGAGCGATGAATTGACGTGCTTTTTTTAAGTGGAAATAGTTGAAGAGATGGAGAGTGACTAGGCTGCTTATTGTGTCCTTCAACCCGGCCCCCTTGACTAAAATAGGAGATGCAAGATTGCATGAAGTAGTACTCAATTTTCCAAGTAGGTAGAATGCTAAAGATTGGTATATGTGACTAACAAAATAATCGTGCATCATTTATTTTTCTTTTGAATATCACGCTACGACCATTTCCAGCCCAGCAGCAGGTGAATAGCTAGCTTCATTATATTTTTATGCTTCAACCCGGTGGAATTGATTTTATATCTATCACAACAAAATTGGCATTCATTTAGGTACTAAAAACCTGAGTTTTTAAAAACATTGTTCTATCCAGTAAAACTGGATTTTACCGTTACGTATAGCTAGGTAACATGGCAACAGTTTCACGTGAATTCTTTGTATTTTATTATGAGAAACAAGTTTTGTTTGAATTGATTTGTAAATCTTTACCGATGTTTTATTAAATGCATAATTGTTTAGATAGTCATTCCTTATGTGTTCGTTAGCTTCGCAAATAGTTGTCCTATTTACTTTTCAGTAAATAAACATTACATAGGTACTTATTATGTTAAACTTTAAAACATACGTCATTAATATTTAAGTTAGTACCCAATTATGTACTTAGATGTCTGAGTACTCTAAGTTAGTTTAGATATTAACTAACTACAATAGATTTAAGAACACCTTATTGCTAGGTACATATAGGTATAAATATTTACATTGGTTTTTTTATGATAACAGGAAAATAGTACATTTCAATTCTTGGAACCTGTTTCCATTTAGAAACTTGTAAGTGACGACCAAACATCGAGTAAGTATAAAATGATGACGTACGAGACGGCCCCTTATGAATTAATTTCAGTCACAGAGAACTTTGGGTAAAACCACGGCCATGTTTTTATATTTTTGACGTCATTATTTTATCTTACATATTGTTTTCCTTTATTTGTTTATTCTTGATATGTTACTGTTTCTCATTAATCATTATAGTAAGTATTAATAATGGTGTATACTCAGATATAATGATAAAGTCATAATAATATGGTCAAAGGTCTACCTAATCGTTTTAGTTACCTATATAACAATTTATAATTAATGAATTAATTGACAAAATAACTATAAGTACTTATACATTTTTATTTTTTTTTATTTTAAAAGACTTCATGCACATACTAATGTACAAGGGCTTAATGCCTAGGGCATTCTTCTCCAGCCAGACCTTTGGGTGATGCAGAGACAAAAACAATGGTCGATGCAAGAAGCAAGCGTATTTAAGACTCAACAGAAATGCATAAAAAAAGGATAGTATAGACTTCCTTAAAATAAATCCCTATAGGTGTAAACTTACATGTATATGACATAACAATAAACTAACACAATTATATTACATATACTACTTAGACGTAACATAACTATACATAGTATATTGATAGTTACGACTCTGCCAATCTCTTCAAAAGTAGCTCCCGCACCTTCCGCTTGAATGACAAACGACTGGGCACCATACATGATACAATTCCACCTTTTTATTGAAACTCGCGCCAACTCCACAATCTGCCTAAAGTTTTTTGATTCAGTTACCTATAGGTATGAATATTTACCTGCATGACTCATTCATAAGTAATAATTCATAAGTAACAAAGCAACGTTTGTTTTAAAAATATAATGAGAAATTCTACTGAACTGAACCACCTGTAAAAAATAAATAGAATACTTCAACTTGTTTTATAACACATTTAAATTAGTATTAAATTTTTTGCTAACCTGTACGTTTTTTAGATTTTTTATCGACATACCATACAAGTAGGGACATATCCAGCGCAGGCCATCTTTTTTAATCTATCACATAAATAATAATGTAAGTCCCACGTAATATCTAGTAACTTTGTTTAAAATTTAAACTGTCAAACACCAAGCGGTCACCGGTGACCGCAACCTATTGTTCTAATTGTGTCTATAAATACGGTACTCGACGAGTTAACTATATGTAGCTGTGTAAATAGTATGCTATAGGTAGGTACGTGAAAAAATTCACGAAGTTGAACTAAAATAAATTAATTATACAGCTTTTTTGATTAGTTTAATTGACTTTTTTTAATTAATCGCGTTTATTTGCTGTTGCGAATGGAAATCTAGTATTTGATAATCACCCGTTTACGAATTTCGTCCTCAGATGTGTTGAAGATGTGTTAATGTAGTACATTTCCTTGCAGAGTCAATATGAGCCGCTTGTTGGCGGTGTTCGCATGCCTGTGCGCGGTCATTGCGCTCGCACACTCGGCTGCGGTGCCCACCCAGGACACCATGGTAGTCGCCAAGTCTGATGATGGAGTCACCGTAAGTATCATAAAAGAGATAATAAACAAAGAAACATGATTTTCCACTCCTCTATATAAGAAATTGCTGAACAATATTGGAAAGAAGTTCTGGTCTTATTAAACTTATTTGAAGATTCAAGATCCTCAATGAAAAATGGGTTCAGAGTCCACAATCAGAGATTAGTCAGAATTCGAAATGTCCAAATATAAAACTAAACACTAGACCTGAAAATCAATGAGAATTTAATCTACTGAAGAACTTTAAAAATGCGTTTCAATCTCATCATTTGGTCATGGTGATAAAAAGTCACAGTACGTAAGTCGTGTAATATGTTACCTAAGTTGACTGTTAACTTCCTGACTTAATTGATGATAGCACCGTATTACACAGATGTAGAAAGCCTGAACACAGAGTTTAAATAATCATTATTTATTCGTCGACTTTATTCAGATGTATTGACGTTCAAAGAGTCTGATCTTGACTTGATTTTCCTCAGGTTGCAACTAACTCAGCACCAGCTGTGACTGAGGTCACGACTGAAGAATCCAGCCCACCAATTAAACTGACAGAGATGGACGTCATATCTGAGGTGTCACTTCGGTATGCGCATACGACGGTCGTGGCGAAAGTAAGAAACCCTGCCAAGAAGGCCCAGGAGGCCAACTTCAGGGTCCTACTGCCCGAGACTGCCTTCATCAGCGGATTTGTTATGTAAGCATCTTATACAGCTATAAACAAGTATAATAACTACAAGTATTGACAGACCCGAGAGAGCGCGCTTGCTCTGAATAAAGGAAGTCACCAATTACTGCTCTAAGTGGATACATACTTCCGACCAGAACGGAAAATCAATAAGTTAAAGACTTATGTGGATCCCACAGCGTATTTGGGACAGTATTAATACATTGTTTAATATATGATTGTTTACAGGACACTCGATGGAAAGTCCTACAAGGCGTACGTGAAAGAAAAGGAAGAAGCAAAACAGATTTACCAAAGTGCGGTCGATCAGGGAATCGGTGCAGCTCATATTTCTGCCAAGTAAGTATCAATCCAGTCTCTTGCCGTTTTAATAAAAATACATGGGTCGTGTCGTAAGACTCGTAAGGCTGCCTAAAATGGTAACGAGATACTAACTCATGACACACAATCACGGTCATGAATCGAAAGTGTTGTTGAAGCTCTCTATTATATGTAAATATATTGCTGTTCGCTCTTTTGTGACTTATGAGCGTGTGTGAGTCATTGTTTAGAAACAACTTGCTTTTGTCAACAGAGGACTCGTAGGGAAAAGTTTAAGCGAGTTTTTCAACATTTCTGGAGAATGAACTTTCATATTATTCGGTTTCATATTTTCTGGCGTTTGGGCAAATAGAGAGGATTTTAGGACATAATTAAATTTCCGTTGGAGATGTACTTATCACGAATGTTCACTTGCAGAGCTCGTGATTCAAACCACTTCACCGTTTCCGTGAACGTGGAAGCTTCATCAAACGCAATCTTCAACTTGACTTACGAAGAGTTGTTGGTGAGACGTAATGGTGTATACAACCATGCCATCAATCTGCACCCTGGAGCGCTGGTGCCCAAGCTTACAGTCACCGTCCATATCAAAGAGACTGAGAAACTTGTGGAGCTAAGAGTACCAGAGATTAGGACTGGAAACGAAATTGATGCTACTAAGGATGATGCCCGTATGTCACAATTTTTATTTTTAAACAGTTAGCAATTTATGGGTATAATATTTTTAATTGTTTATTTGTCACCGTTTGAAGTATGTACGTATAAATATCGCAATATTTCATTTTCAGAAAACTCAAAGGTATCTATCGTAAGAGCGCACGACGATCGCGAGGCGACCATCACGTTTACACCAGACCTCCAAGAACAGGAGAGACTAATTCAAATCTATGCTGTAAGTATGCTTACGTTTTATTCTATCCTCTGAATAGACAATACTCTGAACAGTTCTGCTGTCGTGCTCTATTTTAAATTAAAACTTTCCAAATCTTTTTTTGCAGCAAAAGTCCAAGGAGTCTGCTACTGCTACTCACTCGTATTCTTCATGGTCATCTTACTCGGAGCCTCCCGAACCCACTCCAGAAGGAGTGCTTGGTCAATTCGTAGTGCAGTATGATGTGGCTCGTCCTAAAGACGGTGAAATTCTGGTCAGTAAAATATCGCAATTTTTGAGACCTTTTGCCAATCGTCTTTAAAATAATTAATCGTCTTTAAAATAATTTCGTTACTTCTGAAATTAATACTTCTTTATGCACTATTTTTTTGGTGAACATTAAAGAGGACTATTAAAGTGTGGTTATTCAGCATCTGATGTGAAAGTCTTAAATAATAATTGATTTTATTCCGTTCTTGTAGGTGAACGATGGCTATTTCGTTCATTTCTTCGCACCGACGGAGCTCCCGCCTTTGAACAAGTTCGTGGTGTTCGTCTTGGACACGTCTGGCTCCATGATGGACCGCAAGATTGTTCAACTGAGGGAAGCCATGCAGACTATCCTCTCAGAACTTAATGAAGGCGATTACTTCAGTATTGTGGAGTTTGCCTCTGTTGTCACGGTATGTGTCACTATCTACCTGATATGGTTTATGGGCTTACCCATCTTGAAACTGACTAATGGTAACCTTGCTGTGGCCTTACCGGGTTAGCAACTTGTTGACTGAAATCTTTCATTATAGGTGCACGATCTCAAAGAAGCAGAAGGTGAACCCCCAAAGAATCATTATTCATATTTCGATTATCATGACAAACAAGTGAACCTGGTGCCACCGTCGAGGGCCACTAAAGAAAACATTGCTCGCGCCAAAGTTATTGTCAACTGGCTGCAAGCTTCTGGAGGTAAGACAACAGTTTCCTGTTTACCACATCTAAATAATACCTACTTATGTGATGGATCGATTTACAATGTGTTACACTCTTATCTCCAGAAAGTAAGGTCAAAGAAAAATATTCCAAAGTTTGGATTATATGCGTTATCGGTTTGACCTCCTCATGCACTCTTGATAAACAAAATTATGTCTAATAAGCTTTTATCTGTGATTTCGCGCATAAGTATTTAAGATGGTTAGTAATAATTTTAATTGTCTCAGGTACTAACATCGGAAGAGCCTTGGACGTGGCTGTGGACCTGATAAACAAGGGTGTGGACTGGACCGTTCCCCTACCTGTTGCTGTGTCCACTAACGCCTCTGACAGTGCTGCCCCAACTACCGAAGCTGTTGTAACTACCGAAGCTGTTGCAACTACCCAAGCTGTTGTAACTGCTGAAGTTGCTGAGAAGAAAGGTAAGATACTTATTGTACTTGACATAAGTAAATAAAGACATGATGCTAGAAAGCTACTTATTCTTCGCAAAATACTTAGTTTATAAATTAGTACCACTTCAGATACACGTTTACTTTCGCAGAAACCAAAACCCTGGAGCCTATCATAATCTTCCTGACTGACGGAGATCCAACTGTCGGCGAGACTGACCCCAAGCGCATCATCACTCACGTACAAGAAAAAAACTCCGGACCTAACAAGGCTACTATCTACTGCCTTGCTTTTGGTAAGTCAATCTTCAGTGGCCATATATATATATATTATGTCAATCACACTATTCTGGATAAGCATTTTTTATTAGGTTAATAACAGAGTACATCATGAACTTCCTGCATTGTCTGTTGAGGGCCATCGTAATACATGATGAAATAGATTAAGATAATGACCAGTTTATTACGGGTCTTCCAAAGATTTAAGAGTATTTGTGTTAAAAAATCTCATGTTAACACGTTAAACGCCATGGGGGTCACCGGTGACCGGCGTTAGCGGAGGATTTACCTTCAACAGTTTTTTATTGGCAGTCAAAGTCTTAATTTTAAAACTTTGCTTGCAGGCGAAGATGCGGACCGTAAGTTCCTGCGCAAGTTGTCATTACGTCACGGAGGATTCATGCGACACATCTACGAAGCGGCGGACGCGGCTCTGCAATTACGCGACTTCTACCGACAGATCTCGTCCCCGCTTCTCGCTAATGTCAAATTCAGCTACCCTCCTGGACAGGTAAACCATTGGAAAACGAATTTAATTGACCAAAAGCCTTGGTTCCATAATGATGTAAATTAAAACATGTGTGATGTGCTGGTAAATAATAATTGTTTGTGTCTCAGGTTCGCTCAGAGTCTCTGACTCAACATCAGTTCCGCACGTACTACGCTGGCTCCGAGTTGGTGGTGGCCGGACAAGTGCTCGACGTGCCTGAGCTTGCACCCACCGTCGAAGCCTTCTGCGGCGTCAGCGATGGGAAGGGCAGGGTAAGCGACCAACGAAACTTCTCTGATCAATTTTGAAAAATCCATTTTCAAATACAAGAATATCTGTTGAGAAGCCCTTGAAGACAGTGATCGTGGTCTCATGATTTTTAAATAAAACCACAGAAAACTATACCATTGTTACTATGCTTATAGAAACGCTTGGAGATCTTACCAAAGGCTCCCATTGAGAAGAAGAAACAAGGAACTTTGCCTCTGGAACGACTATGGTCCTACCTGACCATCAAACAGCTGTTGGACCAACGTGATGCTTCTGATGACGCCGAGCCTGCTGATAAGGAAAACACTCCTGAGAAGAAGGCTCTGGCATTGGCATTGAAGGTATTGGAACAATTGGGCTTTAAAAATTATCACCCAGACTTTTACAATTCTCCCTAATTTCGTCTCACTAGCCGGGAATCTGGAGTTGTGTGTGAAGCTTGCTCTTTGCGTCATATTTAGATTCCTCGATTTGTAAAAAGAAATTGAGTTGAGTCTGAGTCTATGTAAAATACATACACACTCCCGACACATCAACCTCCTTTCACTACTGTTTGAAGTTAGGTAACTTTCCTTAAAAGTTACTGAAAGTTACTTTCCCTGAACAAGGGGAGTCATTAGTCAGCTTCTAGCTTCAAATGGTGATATAATATAATCTTTCTTTGATTTGTGTTTGTTTCTTGTATTTTCATAAAATATTTCTGTTACCAGTATGCGTTCGTAACACCATTGACGTCTCTTGTGGTGGTGAAGCCCAACGCTACTAATGCGGTTAACGCCGAGTCTGTGGATAAAGCAGGTGATGATGACTTTGATCTACTAGGTAAAATAAAAGATTATGAAGTTCCTCCGAGGAACTTCATCCATAGTGGTTGTAAATACATAAAGATTTTAAATCACAATACGAAATTCAATGAGATTGACGATATATTTCTATTTACAGCTCCTGGAGGCGGTGGAGGTTTCGCTGGCATTCGTAAGTATTTGTAATTATTATGCTTATTAAGTGCTTGTGCTGTTGCCTTATTCGAGTAATATGATTTAACGTGATCGACCCCAGCAAGTCAACTAATAAAATGTGTTATTTTACTATAGTGACCATGGTCAGAAGTGTTTATACTGAATACAACATTTGAGAGAATTCGCATTCAATATCCAGTCTGTTTTTTAATCCCCAATTTTAAACAGTGACAATTTATGATATAATGCTTGCTTGTTGGCTACTAATGCAATGTTTGTCCTTGTAGCTTTGTCAGTAAACTTGGCTCGTCCGATGGCAAGCCACGCGGCTTTCGGTCTGTCGGGTCCTGGCTACTTCACTCCTCTCTCTCTTCCAGCACCGGCGGCACCAAGTAGCGCCTTCGCCAGTAAGTTATTCATACTAAATTATATACGCATCTTGCTTGTAATTTCATTTTTTATCAGTCACCTTATATATTTCATGTTCATGTAACTATCAGATTTACAAACGCATGTGCACTTATACAAATTAGCCTGTTGTGTTGTTAATAGCTAATTTTGATCATATATCATTTCAAACATCTTTGGTCTTCTTCGGTTAACGTCACCTACTCCTACAAGTCCTCTTTATTTTGAATCACTCTGGTGCCAAGTATTGAATTTCATACTTTTTCTCTCTTTCTCATTATATGTACTATGTACTTGTATATATAGTAATAGTTTACATTATTTATGGTGATTATAGTAGCCTACTTGGTATAACTATATTTTTTATTTATATATCTTTCTTCGTTTTTCTCTTTTTAAATTTTGCTTAATTTGTAGATAGATGGCTAATTCTTATGGTTAAGTTTTTTGTAGTGGAGTAGAGGGTTGTGTATACAGGGTGGAATATTGTAATGCCACCTGAAATGAAAAGTAGTCATGATACTTTAGATAGAAAATTTTACTCAAAGAAAACATACCTTTATTTTTGAAAAGTAAGAAAACTGCGTACAAAGATTTTAAAACATTCGCATACACATACATACATGGGTATCCAAGAAAATGGAGCCCATTTCGAGCAATTAATTAGTCCACCATTTTTGTAAATCATAATATTAATTTGAGATTTCATTGTTTTCCTTTCATTTAACTTATGAAGTTTATTAAGAGAGATTTTATCCTTTTTGACCCTAACGATCGATGCAGTAAAAGTACAGGGTGCGACATTTACAGATTTTAGTCGGTTCGATTAATGTGTGACGCAAGCGAATTTTTAAAAATCTTAGTAAGCCGTTTTCTTTCTTTTAAAAAAATAAAGGAATGTTTTCTTTGAGTAAAATTTTCTATCTAAAGTATTAAGAGTACTTCCCCTTCCGGTGGCATTACAAAATTCCATCCTGTATAGTGAAGTGTTTGAAAACGACTTGACAAAATTATTTATTATTATATATCTCACATCAGGCATAGGTAGTTTTTCGGCGCCGGAGTCTCTCGACGTACTGGAGGAAGCCGAAGTAGAGGAATATTCATTGGAAAGTGATAAAGGTAAAATACCTGGTGACAGTTGAAAAGTGTTCTAAGATATTCATCCCAGTATAATGAGCCTGATTACGGTACCCAACGATAGACGAAATCAATTTTTTTTCATTTCTGGTTAGTATACCTAAATTACCTTCTTTTATATACAATCTTTTGTATACCGCATAGGATTACTTACTAATCATCACAATCATAGAGATTTCAAATTATGATGAATTTATCGTTTTGTGTTATTTATCGTTTAGTATCGATGTGGTTATTATTTAACTACGAATAAGGAACATATAGGTAGATGTTATAGGTATATATGGTACGTGTAGGTACGTCTCTGACGCGTTTTATTTCTGCCCCTCGTCGTCCCATCGGCATCGTTGTCACATTACTTTATAGTGTGTTGTTTCAGATTAAGTATTTTGTATTTTTCCACCACCCATCACATGCACGAAAATTCATTGCTACTCCTATAAAATAATGCGAATGAGTTGTAGAAATAATTTATTGATTCATGAGGATCCATGCCACATGTCGGATTTACGATCATTGGCTTCATGACTCTAGCTTTTTGCATTCTGACTTTGAATGTTCATCAACCTCGCTACTTATTGCTCTTAAACTGTACCTTATATTGAAATTAATTGTTTCTTTCTCTGTGCTTCAAATGCACAAACTAACATTTCTTTTTCATAATATTTAGGTTATAGTAGTGCTGGCTACCCTCTCTATAACAGGGTAACTACATCGGCTCGGACTAGTTCGATCACATCTTTTAATCGAAATAATTTACTGCTATATAGAAGTAGACCAGCTTTTTATCCCAGTGCTGCTTCATTCGGTTTAAGTAAGTATTATCTATAACATTCAAGTTATTTCATTAGAACTCTCTAGATACGTCGACGTCTTATAGTCAATGATGTTTTTTATTTAGCATCACAGACTAAACTTTGGCTTATGTAGGTAAACATCGACTATCTATTTGAAATCGATTTAAACCCACTTTTACGCTTACTTTTAATTGTAAAAGTAAGCGTAAAAGTGGGCATACTTAATACTTTCGTCTTAGTTATAAGATACTACCTCAATTAATCACTATGTTTTCGGCTTATTCACGTAGCTATTTGACTAAAGTTTTAATATAAATAAAACACTATCTCCTATAGAATATGTATCTACACTATTATATCGTATAGCAGGTGTCTATCTGCCAAAAATAAGCTTAATTATACAAATGGGATGAATACTACGAACAGAATACATGTTTTTATTTGAATTTAGAGTTATGGATGTATTAAACAATTGAAATATTTTATTTAAAGACGCAGGATTCGGATTCGGAGGAGCGATTACTACACCGGTGCCTCCTCTGTACTTACCGACTTATGCGCCTTCAACCACTTCACGTCCGGCCTTGGCGGACTTCCACCTGCAGGGCTACAGTTGGCTGGAGTCACTCCTAGACGCTAGTGCGAGCTCCATTGTACTGCCCACTAACGACACCACGGTCACCTTGAAGCTATCCAAAGACCCAGTGGTGAGCATAATTTCGTTAATCTTAATGATTATGTACCTATACCTATTATGGAATAGATGTCGTCAAAGTAGTCTTAAACTGTCAAACACCAAGCGGTCACCGGTGACCGCGACCTATTGTTCTTTAATTGTGTCTATAAAACCGGTACTCGACGAGTTAAAATAGTTTATTTATTTTATCCTTTAGTGCCTAGGTAAGTAGGTACAATACAATCTTACATTTTATTTTCATTCCTCCAGGCTCCGAAAGAAGCAAGTGGTGACGCAGAATGCTCGAACGCGGTGGAGGGCGGCGCAGGACTATGTGTGTACCTCACAAGATGTGACGGTGTTAAAGACATCACTCTGGACGTTTACAAGACTACATACTGCACACTCAGTCAAGGGTACGGCATAAATATCTACTACCATTATATTAATATTATAAGCTATAAGCTTCTTATTATAACTATTATCATTTCCAGGTTTGTAAATTTAATCAAATATTCAGTTTTCAGTCCAGTATCCGCTGATTTGATAGGTTAATCTCAGTTATTTAGCCATGCTAATTTATCCAGAGATATAATGCCGAGGTAGAAAACAGACATAAGACCTTTCTGTCTATTTGCTGACTATAGAGATGGAATCAACTACGAAAATCATTGGTGGACTAGCTAATCTGATCCTACTTAGGACACCTGAGCTGGTTATTTAATGTATTGTTTCTTACAGATTTGCTGGAGTTTGCTGTCAACAGAAGAAAATCGACTTAACACATTAACAATTAAGATCTAGGTAGAATTAAACCATAACAATAACAAATGAGATAAATAACAATTAAAATACTGTGATTACTGTGAATATAGAAAAGACAAAAGAAAATATACAAAATAAGCAATATTTTAAACTACAATATGTCTATGAATAACCATTTATAATCGTGCCTATACAGTGAGATTCCTTGCATGGGTTTGTATTTTAATATGAACTGAAACGTTTTGAACAAATGTTACCTAAGTAATTACAGAAAACTTAAGGTGCTAGATTAATCAATTAGTGCCATTATTAGAATAAAACATGACCTACTGTTGTGAAATGTACCTAGTTTTCGTATTTTTACAATTGAATCTTAAATAAAGATAAGATAATTTTTCAATAGATAATGCTTTATTATTTTTTGCCCACGTCTTCTCAGCCCGGAACCCACTTCAACACATAACGAGCGTCAGAGATGGATTAACCCCTGGTATGCCGGAACGTAGATATACGCGAGACACAATGTGTTTTTATTGTGTCTCATATGCCGGCAGATAAGAGGTTAAACCTAGATAGCGCCCTAGGCAAGCACCTCGTTCAGTATTTTATTGGTGCCGCCGCGCCGCCACTTTGTGGACAGTTGGGAACGCACGGCTCTGTAACCTGGCGCCCTAGGCACTTACGACTCTGACTTGCGTGCACCAGCAGTTACGTTGATAAGCACGGCTGTATAGCCTCAACGACCTCACAGTGGTCTTAGGATTCCAGCAGACTTCAAATAACCTTCCTTTTTAGGATTAAACTGTCAAACACCAAGCGGTCACCGGTGACCGCGACCTATTGTTCTTTAATTGTGTCTATAAAACCGGTACTCGACGAGTTAAGTAAAGGTTTTCTTCATTGGTTTCACTTCTTGAGGGTGACAACATAAATATCGAGAGCTAACAATAGGTATGCACCAGGAGCTCACCTTCTGAAAGTCAATGATTAACAGAAAGAAAACATAAAATTGGTCACAACACTCTTAACTTTTGAAGTTGTATCGCAGTTATCACGCTATGATGCCCGATACAAGGTTGACTTGAAGACATTCTTCAGCTGTAAAATAGTATGTAAGAAGGCATTGTATATAAAAGACTATGAGGGCAGTTCAGGTTGAGTTGGTCGAGCAGCTTCCTCAAAACAATTGCTTCAATGATGTTAACACAATTTAAGTTATTTCCTTTTTATAGCGAATAGAGATTAGCGAATAGAATTTTATAGAGAAATTTAGAATAGAATTTAATACACTATTTATCTATCTATCTAGAATTCAACTTAGAAAGCTACAAAAAGTTTTACGTATAATACTAAAGGGCAAAGTATGGTATAAAAGAAAGAAAAGTGGGTATCTGCCTATTCCTACAGTACACTACGCGCGCAGCTCTAGAAACAATTAGGTACCAAGGAAGGACGTTGACGTTGCTAACCTAACTTGGTTAAACTTTTAATATATAATGTTTTTTTATAAATCGCAAGTTCTTTCTAATATATTCAATATTATTACTTTATCTGTCCACTTTAGGGAATTTAGTGGAAATGTCATATTCACAAATAAAAAACAAAGTAAATCGCCTAAGAGCAAATCGATTAACTTTTAACGTTTGATATCTGTGGTGTTTCTCTAGCGATTGTTTGACGTTTTGAAAGTAGTTTGACATACTTTTATCAATATTGGCAAGATTCGAAGATTGATCATTTTGTGGATTTCTCCAGGGAATAATTTTCATAAAGTAGCTTGAAATAAAGTTTAAGGTATGGTAAACTTGGCCGATACACTTATGATAAATACGGTGACGGACGGAGCTATGAATTTTTTGCGACATATTGTAAGTCTTGTCTTCAGCTTTGTGATACAGCAAACTTCCTAGCCAACAAAGAGTACATTGTTTAACTAAATAATGCCACTTTATTTACGTCACAGGGCATCTTTAAAACCCAACAACCTACTCCACAACCAACTCAGATTATCGTAAGGATGCCGCTGTGGCAACTAGCACAGGAGGCGGGGCCCTTTGTGCGCCTGGCTGGATTGAGCGGTGCTGCCGCTGTAGTGTTGGGTGCAATGGGAGCACATCGCACGTTCCCTGAGCCCGAAACTAAGGAAGATTTAAGGAAAATATTTGACACAGCCAACCGCTTCCATTTCTTACATACACTTGCACTTGTTACAGTACCTCTTTGCAAGAGACCAATGATTGTGAGTCTGACAATATTTATTCCCTACATTGCTTTTATAAATTACGACATTGACCTTTGTAATTGGTCATTACACAGTGAATGATAAATTATGAATTTGATTACCATAGTAATATATAAAAATGATTATGCAACATTTTTAATCAAATTTTTCTTATTAAGTGTAACTCTACTATCACTATCATGAATCTTATTCTTTTATCTAGTATATATTTTTAATCATAGCTTTTCTAGAAGTACAATTACATTTCAATTCCAAGTGACAGTAGCCAAACCATTATTGTTATATGAAGTGATTGTATTAATATTTGTTTCCAGGCTGGTGCTTTCTTTATTACTGGCATGGCACTATTTTGTGGGACCTGCTACTACCATGCTTTCACTGGAGACCGTTGCTTCCGGAGGCTCACCCCCATTGGCGGATCTTGTCTTATACTTGGATGGGTTGCAATGGTGCTGTAAACCTTTGTGACTATTTATAGATGCTCATTTTTGTTGATAGATGGTCAAGTGTACATTCTAGTGTAGGTTTATGTTTTAGACTTTATTGCACAGATATATTAATATCACTTAATCTTTGATGTATTATGTAGTCTGAATTATTATAATATACCTAGTATTCTACTATGTATATTTTCCATGTTGATACTTTGATTAACACTACATAAAGAAATTATTTTATTAGCAGTATAATTCCAGTTATTAGAATGTTGGTCATAATAACATAATGTAATTAGATTTAGATCTATGTTATAATGGATTCACTGACAAAATAAATAATCATTCTTATTATGAAGTACATTTTAATATATTTTTGTGAATTGGTAGGTGGCAGTGTATAACATTAAATGGTTCTTTGGAACATAATGAAATAGCTGTCTTTGTTTTATTATCTTGTAAGGTTTACAATGTCAACTTGATGATAATAAATGCCAAATATTTAAAGGTCCTTGTTTTTATTTATGCTTGAATTTCAATGTGTTCAACAGGTGGAGTGTGAATGTTGGCTCGACGCAATAATTGTGTCTATCATGTCGCTAATCCCTTTATGAGATAAGATGAGAATGAAATGAATAGAAGGTGAAAAATGAAACCCAATATTGATCAATATTGTTTACATGGTTTTATTGAAATTGTTACATATTAAATTTTGCACTTTTTCTTTACTCATTTATGATACTTAAAACATACACCATTTGGTAATAAATGCTATTATAATTCATAGGACTCTCAGACAAGTTTTAATGGTCCTTCAAATAGCTTAAATATAAATGTGCCAATCTAAATCAGAAATAAACTGCAGGTGGTATTCGAGGAATAACTCGCGAAGTATAAGTGAGAGGGCACTCTATTGTTACAATATTATTATGTAGGTTCAGCTAAGTCAGAAGCATGGATGGTCAGTCCTGTGGCTAGTGGTACAATACCGACTCGTGCAGTCTTGTCTCCATACAATGAGGCCAACAAAATCCATCCATGTTACAATTATTCACCATAAGCTTTTTATTGAGAGTCGGCAGATCTCCGAAGTACAGAGAAAGTATTATACAAAGTTATCACATTAAATTAACACAAAATATAATATAAACATATTTCTGTAATCTAAAAAGAATCCAAAGAAAAACAAAACTATAGAACGCACAGCACTTTAAGTGTCTGTCACATTAGGTTAATAAAATCACTTTGATTGCACATAAACAGCAGTCGTCCGGGGCGTGCGCACCGTCAATATAACACAATTATTATAGGTTTCACTAACCGCATTCACACGTGTATACAAACAACTCTGAGGGGTCGATAAGTAATCACAGTAGTGGGGGAGGAGGCGACGTTCGGGCGTTCACGACAAGTGGAACGAGTGCTGGCCCTCGGAGGCGGCCAGGCGCAGCTTGGCGCGCATCACTTCCGCGCTGGTGTAGTCCGGCAGCTTCAAGTAGTTTACGCACGTCATCACTGACGGCAAGTACTCGTCCGGATCCAGAGACGACTCCAGCGATTTGCGCACAACCGTCAGTGGTGGGTTCAGGGCCTTGAAACCTGTTCAATTTACAATCAAAATGTAAGCTCAGGCTGGCAATATATAGTTCTATAAATTGCAACAATAAAAATTTGTTTACCTCCTGTAGGTAACCGAGGACTTCCAGTTACGAACTGTAAAAACAAACGTTGCTCTTCACGGTTATATGACGCAAGTATGTCGATGAGCATGCGAATGGCGCGCGACTCTGCGTTGTACCCGTGGTCTGGACGGATACACTCCGTGAGCATGCGTGGCTCCCAACGCTGGTCACGACCACCTGTAGTGAAAATATTTGAGGTTATACCCATATATTATTTTACTTCTAGACAACAGCAATTTATTTTCATAATTATTATATTGTTCTAAATTTATAACTTACCGGACGGACTGCCACAGAATACTTGTTCCAATTCTTCAGGATAAAATATCTTAAGGTTGGCTAATGGAAATACTGACTCAAAACCTTCCCGAAAAGCTTCCATTTGTTTGGTAACACCTGTTGATAAAAAAATTGGTCAATAACAAAGGCCATGTGTGACTCATGAGAATAAGGAATCTTTATTAGGAAATTTTGGCGTATAATCAAAAACCGCAAACAAAAAGTCAAGGTAATAATACCAGTGGTGCCAATGTTGGCAACAATATTTAGCTGAGTGTTACCTTCATAGAGTAGCCAATGTGTAACGAGATCAATATAGTTGTGTAGGTTGTGCGCGGTGACTGGCAGGTCGCGCCCGCCGCGCCGGAGTTCCGTGCAGCCGTCGCCGGGCAGAATAAAGTCCAGGCCTAGCTCCTCAATGGGACAACCATCAAGCTCCAGAGCGCTTATCTGTTGATTTATAAGAAACGAGAGCTTAGATACAAGCATATTATCATTTTCTATAGCAGTGTAATGTAGTGTTTGCATACCAGCTGCGTTTTCTGGTCGGGCGTGTGTCGTGTGTCGGCCGCGATCTGTCGCGCGCGCTCGGCGACACGGCGCAGGCGACACAGCGACCGCCACAGCTCGGGCGCCACGTGTCGCACGTCGCTCAGTGACAGCCACTTCTCTTCGTTTACCATCCAGCGATACATCGACACTGACAGCGGAATATCCACCTGTGTAATACATCGTTTTATTTATTATCTAGGTTTAATGTGTGATCGGTTGCGACATTTCGATTAACAGAAATTTAATGAGGAAGTACAGGAAACGAGACTTACCATTCTGGAGTCCATGACAGCTTTAGCCATGAATTTGCCCAGAAAACGGAACTTTGCTTTAATCCTCGAAACATGTGACGCCCTTGCATTACGACCGACCGCCTGCGGGAATAAACCACAAGGCCACGTCACGTAGGTTGCATCGGGCGCAGGTGAAGGGATCGAAGTTTCCTTTTCTAGGTCCGATGGCTCTGGTGCACGATCTTCATCTAAGTTAAGAGCATCGCGCACTGAGGAAGCCAGGCGAGCTGCGGCATCAGCCGACCGATCCGTCACGACGGGTGGCTGGCTCTTGACGATTTCACCGCCAAACGACGTCGGCTTCTGCTTGAAGTTCTCGCTGCCGTGCCAGAGGTCCAAGTCGGCGCGCTGCAGCTCCTGCGAGACGAGCGCGTAGAACTCGAGCGTGGGCCCGAGCCCCGTGCCGACCTCGTTCTCGTACTGTATCTCGAGCAGCGCCTTGGAGTGCGCGAACTCGTGCATGACGTGCTCGGCCTGGCGCAGCACGTTGTGCCGCTGCACGGTCCGCTTGCGCCGGTCGAGGCGCGGCGCCACGCGCTCGTCGGCGCCGCCGGCCGCGCCGCCGCCGCCGCGCTCGCCGCCCGCCTCCAGCAGGCGCTGCAGCGCGCGGTCGCGGTCGAACGACACCACGTAGAACAGCAGGTGCCGGCACTCGAACGGCAACACGAACGGGCTGCGACGGCACACAATGGTACACTCTAATTCTCTAATACGACTTTCAGAAATGAATATTTTCGTATTGAATTAAGATAACTTACCACGCGTAAGCAATTTTCTTCAGCCACGGTGGGAGATTTCCAGTCATGATAACGAGTGGATCTTGAAGTTGGCGATTGGCTTTGGCAGCGAGCTATAGTGAAAAAGAAATAAATTAGTACACAATAGACAAACTAGGTTCTAAAACGAGGAATGTGTGGCTGGGACGTGTGCATGACGTACCTTGGAATTGATGAAGTCTGCGTTGGGCACGAGCGGGCGGTGGTCGGGCAGGCAGGCGGCGCGGTACAGCGTGTGCCAGTGGCGCGACAGCGCGTGCAGCGCGCGCAGCAGGCCCAGCGCGGGCAGGGACGCGTCGCGCACGTCGGCCGCGCCCGCGCCGCACAGCGCCGCGCCGCGCACCATCACCACCAGCGGGGACACGCGCGCCGGGACCACGCCCTCTGCAACGCCACGCAATGTCACTACTCTCGCAACGACTCACCACATCATTACTTATCATAATATCAAACATGCGCATCGGTATGACTGCTCACCGAATGTAACTTCAATTTAGGTCTTTTCATTTGAGAAGATACATACAAATATGTATAGTGTAATTTACGTTATATTTGTGTGGTGTACCAACTTACCATTCCACAAGAGATCAGGTTTACGTCTAGATGACAGTTTAGTGGGCTGGCCCTTTCCTTTACGTGAAGCGGAATTATCAGTGCGAGTTTGTTCACCTGCCTCTACGGCGCGGTAATATATCGTGTGCGTATCGACCCAAATACCCGCGTTAGCTGTCAAATACAAATATAAATTAGCATATTCATTACTTACATTAGCATTTTATTTATTACAAATGATAAAGTAACAATTATGTCCTTTGAATAGAGTTACATTTGTTTGTACACTTACGGGCCGGAGTTTCAGTATCGTCGGGGTCAGCAATATCCGAATACTGCCTCACTGCTTGGTACACAGTCATGTTGTAAGGCAACACCGTGTCGTCGATCAAGAACTCTAGTTTATGTTCGGACCTGGAAGAGAACATAGTACTGATATCAGGCAGCACAAATTGACTAAGATAGTTTGACCACTGAACTATAAAGTTTAGATTACTATTTTAGCCTTTTTAGGTTTGTCTCCTGACTCCTGACTAATTAGTAAAGTTATACAAAATGAAGTTTAGAAATACTTACTCAGGATTGTTTGGAGGTGTTGCGAGAGAGTCGTCGACGTCATCGTCGGAAGCGGCGTCATCGTCCGAGTGCGCATTACCGCCAGAGTCTGAGTTCGTGCGCCCACTGGCGTAGCCTCGCTGAGCTAAATATCTACACAGACATCATAACCGTTGAATATTTAAACAATAATGAATCGATGCTTTCGAAGGAATACAAGGACTAAAGATACTTAAAATTGTTTCTAAGTAATGTAGAGTGTTATGTTTGTTTTAACTTACCTTTCAATGGCTTGAACTAAAGCTAGCGGATCAATCCGCACTATGCCACCCTTCCATTGCTTGAGATTTGTGCAAGTCGGGTGGCGTTTGAGATCACACTGGAACAGAAGCAAACATTTATTTACATGAACTGTTAAACAATTATAACAAAGAATTTGAGATTTGAGTAACGGCACATCGTGGTAGTTACATGTTCGCATGCAAAACTTGAAAACAGATGGTAAAGAATTTTATGATTTGTGCTCCCAGATTCTCGTTAGCTGCAGCCTCAATATATTTATTGAACACTATACAAGACGAGTCGAATGGTGGTGAATAGTATACTGACCATGAGCTGGTGCGTGTTGAAGAACTTGAGCGCGGAGGTGGCGGGGCGCGCGGGCAGGTCGTGCACGCGCACGGGGAACTGCTCCAGCTGCGACACGCAGGCGTTGACCTTGCCCACCAGCGCGCACAGCGCCGCGCCGCCGCCCGCGCCGCCCTCCGCGCTGCTGCCCGCGCCCACCGCGCCCAGCGCGCCCACGCCCGCCGCCCACTCCGCGCTGTGCAACGAGTTATACAACACTCTTAGTGCACTGACACTACATACAAATAACTTCTAATCCTAGATAGGAATATGGAACTTGACACTTTATTTAGTAATTTAGACTTGAGACTTCTTAAAAACGATTTTAAAACATAAATAAAAAATATTATGAACATGTCAAAATCTCAATTAACATTTTTGTAACAGCAAATAAGAAACAACACTCACTCAATGGTCAGTGGCATATCAGCGAACACGTGCAGGAACAGTCGTAGGCGGTCCTCGGCGGCGGCGACATTGTCCTCGCGACCTTCCCCATCACCGTCTCGCGACTCGCTCTGTTCTCCGTCGGTATCCCCGCCTGTTAGGAACTGTAGCAGAGCTCCCAATACTCCGGAATGATTCACCTAGGGAAGTAAATATCATAGTCAAAATGTTATTTGAATAGAAAATGTTCTCTTCTTTCTTGTCATACGTATGGCATAGTCATAGTTGTCAAATATGATTGTTTGTTTTCACATATTATTTTGAATAATTCTTCCATTTGATCTTTGTTTGCACTTTTGGTCGAAAGCATGATTGTGAAGTAAGGGGTCACAAGATAAATTTCGGTTAGCAAAAAGTATCACTGCTTTTGCTACATGAGACTCAGAACTAGCTAAAAGAGCTTTACTTTAATACATGTTTGTAGAACAAAAGGGAGTATATTTTCGATCTATAAATGTAGCTGTTGTTATGTAAAAGTAATGGGAGCTAACGTTCTTTCGCACACCAGATGGCGCAAATGTATGATGGGTATTTTTATCCAATCACAGCAGCTGTGAAATATTGAACGTCCAATTGTGTAACACTAGCTCCTTTCGTTCTTCCTCCAACAGGAATTCCCTGTTGGAGGAAGAAGGAGTTGGAGGAGTGTTTCGCACTAAAGACATTTAGTGAGCAAAAATACGGTAGGCCCCATTGTAATGGTGTGGTAGAGTCGCTCGTAGTGGTGTATACCTCGAAGGGCGAGACGTCGTGGTGCAGCAGGGTGTCGCGCAGCGTGGCGAGCGCGGCGCGCGCGTGCTGGTGGTGCGGCAGCGCGGCGGCCAGCGCCGCCAGCTGCTCCAGCGCGCCGCCGCCGCCGCCCAGCGCGCCCCACGACGCCACCACGCGCGCCGCCGTCCACTGGATCCACGACCGCACCTTCTCTCTGCACACACACGCCGTGTTACACAAGGCTTATCTCACGAGCGCGGGTGCCCCATTCTTGTGTAGGTAAATGTACACGCACATTGTCTTTGTTTGCGTACGCTCGGGAACGCCCAGTTTTGGCCGGCATGACAATGAATGAGTTTGCGCCCGCACTACAACTACAACTATGGCTCAACCGCGATCGTGAGATAAAAGAACTATACAAATAAACAAATGAAACAACATTTATGTTCAAATACTTAAATCGCGCTTAAGTCTAGTTCTGTCACTTCGAGTCACAGAAATTCTTTGACAGCGATATCTAAATACAACTTATAATTAAGTAGTATTCGGACGATATTCACACACAAATCAACAGAAACAGCACAGCAATACTATGACATATTATTTCATGCCTCAAGTCTGTATAGAAATGGAGCACTAATTCAACATATACCAGATAGAGCCTGTTATCTTTATCATCATCCTATCAACCACAAGACTCCTAAACATACTAAACTTAGGCCTCCTCCAATGAATTCCAGATAAGCCAGTTAGAACCGATCTATATCCAGTGGTTTTAACTAGATCTATATTTAAATATGGTTCACATGAAATCTACCTCCAAAGGAAAATTACCAAAGCAAAGTCAGTGTTGTAAGAGTCAATAGTAATGTAATATGTTACACGTTTCGGATCGCGCAATAAGTTTACTAACAAAGTTGTTATCTGTGGCTATATATCATTGGCTATCATTTATTACTTGTTTATTTACTACTATATAATATACAATAATATGTTATTAAACATCAACTGTAATGATTATTCAAACTTACCTGTCGTCGTAACAGAATAGATTAATACACCTTTTTTATTTCCGTTCTAAACACGTTACATTTTTAAAACTATGTCCCGTTATTGACATTGATAGTAAAATATGATCTGTGGCAATACTAACATACTTCATAAACATTGCAACATTCCCATTTTTAAGGATCATAGCACTTACTTGTTTTGGCCAGTGAGATTAGTGGAAGTATGTGGCGAGGCGAGCAGGCCGGTGTCCTTGTGTGTGTGGGGGGAGCGTCCCCAGCGGGACGGGTTCAGCGAGGACAGGAACGAGGACGTCTTAGACGTGCCACCCACTCGCGTCGCCGACCGAGCGCCGGATGACACGCCCGAACCTATGGACAGGAAACGAGTCTATTAGTACCCAGTCGTGTGCTACATTTATCTAAGAAAGAAAGTTACAGTTAGTTTGATTTTTATGTTAGTTGGTTGCGAATATCTTCCACGGCGATACGGGCGCACAACAAACATGGCAGCCGCGGCGCATCGCAGCGTCGATATTAATGATAGGTAGGTACTATCTACCCAAATAAGTGAACTAGGAAAATGAGAAATGTAGTAAGAAATTACATTATTAATGAGTATAGCTATTTTGAATAATATTTTAGCAGCAGAATATAATTCATGAAATTGAGACGAAGAGATGAAGGGCCCAGTACGCACCGTGCGGCTGCGCGGCGTGCGCGGCGTGGTGCGCGTGCTGCGGGTGCGCGAGGTGCGCGGCGTGCGCGGGCGCGGGCTCGTCGCGGCGCCGCGCGTGCCGAGTGCCGGCGCCGCCCGACCGCTTCAATGCGCGCTTGCGCTTCAACATCTCCGCCAACTGCAGGGGACTGCTCGACCTGCGACACGCGGTATTACAAACACATAACTAAAGGTAATATGATTTCCAGTTACTCATTGCTAAGAATTTTGTGCGAGATTACAGGACTGTGAAATTATAACATCTTCGCAGTGAATATAAGCGCTGAAATGAACACGATATAGATATTTTAAGTAATGGTTACAATTTATTGTATACCTGTGCACTGAAGTGGCTGACATCTGGGTGTGTGTGGACGCTGAGGCTTGTCCAGGCTCGGAACCACTTCCGTCGCTACCAGTGGCTAAAATAAATCACTCAACTTCAGTTATCTTGCTACATTATGTATGTAATTAGTTTGTTAAATTAATACAAATATTTCTTTGTCATTTGTCTACATCTTGATTCTTAAAAATAGTGCAAAACTGAGTCGTTAGGAACTTTAACATTGAAATGACTATATTGACAAATTAAAACAATAAAATAAAAAATACACACGCATAGTACTGGCTACGAATGATCCTGAGGCGGAAAACGCCAGAGACAGATTGTTTTGATGTTCGAGGGACGTGGCCGACGTGGAGGCGGGCGGGGACGAGCCGCCACTGGAGCGGACGCTGCCGCCACCCGGCGACTGTGACAGACAGAGACATGATTACCTTGCTGCGTGAATCTCTCGTATCGTAATACGTTATCGGGGCGGGTCATGCGGCGCACCTTATGCGGGGGCTGGCGCGGGAGCGGGGACATGGTCATGAAGGTCCCCGGCTCGGGGTCGGCCAGCTGCGCCACCTGGTGCAGCACGCCCTCGCGCCGGAACTGCACGCCCATCTCCTCCGGCAGCCGCTGCATCAGGATCTCCGCCAACTGCAGCGACCCCACCACGATGCGCAGGTCGCTCGACGCCATCATGCCCGCGATGTGGGACGATATCACCTGCACACCAACATGTACATGTATATGACGAATATATCGGTGAAACACTTCCAAATTGATCACTAAAATAAGTATTAAATACACATTTAAGTTCCAAAGTTAAATAGAATATAAAGTATGTCCATACCTGCATCTTGAGCACTTGTCTGAGCAATGGTGCGTCAGCGTAGTAGACGCAGCGCAGTATAGCTTTGAGCGCTTGCGAGCGCACGGCCGGGCCGGCGGAGCTCCAGTATACTTCATGTAGTACGGCCAGTAAGGCACGAGCCAGTCCCGGGTTTGAGCGCACCATCGCGATACGAGGATCTGTGAGATTCATGTATGTATAAGACTGATGTCGGTGAAAAATAAATATTGATTCAAAAAGCTATTTAGAAGCAACTTTTGTTTGTTATAACAACAAACTAATATTTTTGAAAACGGACGATAAAATGGATGCAAAGAAAAGATGTGAACACATCTATGAGAGATGATGGAAGAAGATGCCAAGTAAATGAAGGTAGGGAGAAAAAGGCTTCTGTCGCATTAGTTTTACCTGGAGCGGGTGCGTGGGAGGAGGACCCTGGGAGGTCACTGGGCAGCGGGTGGGGCGCCATGCGCTGCACGGGGCGCGCGGTGCCGGTGTGGTCGTTGAGCTGCTGCATGGCCGTGAGGTCCACGGTGTAGGAGCGGCCCAGCGTCGTCAGGCACACCTCCTCCTCGCCCGCCAGCGCGCCCGCCTCCAGGGCACGGCTCTCTGCCCACGAGTACGACCGCCATACTCCTGCGAGACCATCACATAACAATACATTTTAAATCCTACAATCCTACAGCTAAAATTGTCATTAATCAAATAGTATAAAGTTGAAACCCTACCATCCAAACTCATCAGTTATTTTCCTATGCATCTTTTCCTTACATGAGTTTAGTTTTTCATGACATTAGTGCTAATAACGGTATTAAAATATCAGAAATTTAAACAATAAATCTGGTAAATATTCAGTTACAAATAATAATGACTGTATCAATTTATAAAACATTTTTTACAGATACATAAACATTACAGCTATAAACATTTTTTACGAATACATAAACATAGACACATACCTCTATCATCCCTCCACTGCCAGTTCACAGAGCGGTCAACGCTAGAGGCGGACCAGGGTTTGTCTAGATGCGAGTCCACGGAAAAGATGCCGTCAGTCGGCAGACGGGGCATCAGTTCGCCTATCAGGCATGTAATCTCGTACAACTCTTGCGGGAGACGCGGGATTAATTCAACTTGCTGTAGGACAATAACTTAAGTTAAGCATTTATGTTTGATGGATGATGAACTTAAACTCAGATATTTGCTATTACAAAACATTTTGATCATTTTAATTAGATAGTTATGACTGACAGAGAATGCCTGAAGACATTAAATCTGATCATTATGTTTACAAGCATAAAGTTTTAATGAAACACAAGTAACATGTAAGCAATTTTGGTTAAGTAAAAGTAATAAACAAAGAATAGTCATGGTACAGTACCTCCTGCTGCAGCGTGGAGCCAGTGAGCAGACAGAGCAGAGTGTCTGCGATGGAGCGCTGGTGCAAGGCCAGCGCCAGCTGGGGGCACGCGGCACACATGACCCACAGCAGGCGCAGCACTGTGATGAACGTCGCGCCGGAGATCAGCGGGGGCTGCACCACCAACTGTGATACAAATCATTTATTATGTTGTTGCATACACATTATAATTATTATTACTAAAATAAACTTTCTTCTTCTCCCTTTTTAACTTTATGAACACTAATTCAAATAACGAATATTATCAAACTTCCTCAAACATATTCATTCACTATACCCGACAGTACATCCTTATTTCAAAGGAGATGTTTCATTTTCGGCCATGACTTGTACAGTTACCGAGAAAGAGGAAAAAATACCACGAACCAAAGAAAAATAATATCTGGTGAAGTCTTAGACGTTGGGTACAAAAACATAATAATTTTTCAATTATTACCATATTTTATTCATTATGGCGCCTCACACCGTATTCATTCGTTCTAAAATCGTGTCATGAAATCAATTTTAAGTAGAAAGTAAATATGAAAAGTATGCCTATATTTTTTGTAGTATTAAAAATGTAATGTATTTTATGTATAATATTATTCTCTAGTACATTTTTAGGTAAACCTTAATAAGTGTGATGATTTTATCGTTACAAAAATCATTAACTTCTTAACAAGTTTAACATGCATAACTGCTACCATTTTTTGAACTGTCAGTTAGTCTCGTTCGTCTCGACTTGTTTTTCGCTTTCGTGATTTTCGGTGTTAATTAATAAATACAAGACAAACATAGCTCATTTCGAATAACATTAGGTAAATAAGAACTATGGTTCATAACACTGGTAAGTTCTGATTATGATGTATTCATTGAATGAAATGCTTCTGTCATCATGGCTGTCATAACTCGTACAACAAACATCAAATATTTTTAATTTTTATTTTGTACCCAATGAATACTTTATAGTAGGATAAATGTTGCTTTATTCCATGCAGTTGCTTATTTCCCACCTTCCCTATTATGTACATGTTATGGCCGGAGTCCCATACAAAAGTGAAACATATCCTTTCTTCATAACATAAAAAGTTCGGGGTTCGACCATTTTATAAAAGTCTGGCGCTAGAGTCACGATATTTCTTATTTAATGTAGTGATAAAAACAATAATATTGCAATATAACTTTGTTATAATATTCATTAATTATTAAAACATTGTTCAAAGAAAACTCACCAGTTGTTGTAAATTAGTCAGTAGTTCTGGAGTAGCGATTTCCTGAAGGCGAGCCGGGTCGTTTTGGAAACTGTCCACGAGACGCGAGAACGCAAGGCACACGCATTCTACGGATTTCTTGTCTTGTTGGGTAAGTCTGAAACAAACACATTATTAATATCATATAATCAAAGTTGGCTATAATCAAAAAACCCATTGAGCATTGCGCATGCTCAATGGGTTTTTTATTATGACTATGATGAGTCCCTAACATGGCTCGAAACTAGTCGAGTTCCTTTGTCAAACAGTAACTTAAAAGGTAATTAATATATCTCACGAAAGTTATAATACAGACAAAATCAAAGTTTTAATCAAAATACCGAAAAACCGTCCAGGTTTATATTTTGGTTTTTTATTCATAATCATGAACAGTACATTAGGTTAAAAGTTTTCAATAGTTACCTATTAGCCAATAATTGTAGAGAGTCCCTAACTAGGTGGAACTCATCGGGAGTGAGGTTCTGACAGCAGTTGGCTGTAATGGAGAGGGCGGCGCGCTGTGCGTTGATGGAGAAAAAGTCCAAGTAAGTCAGGCAAGCTGACACGCCGCGCTGAAATAATAAAACAATAAATATCAAGTCATCGCATCAAATTGTCATACAGAATAATAAAGTAGGAAAACAAATCTATAACAAGATAAAATCTATTTCTGATGAAAAAAAGTGAATCATACAGTTTGAGTAACTTTTCTTATGTCAGACTTATGAGTATTGATTAAAGATTGTATGATATCAAGAAGAAAAGATAAAATCAACATTTTAACTTCAAACGAGTGCTCATTCAAGCCCAAGAAAGTTAAAGAAAATTATGTTTTGATGTTTAAAAGAGCCCAGTTTCAAAGGAATTCAACCTTTAATTTTAATCTAATCTACTTACTGCTTGTAATATAGCCTTGGAGTGTCGTCGGGAGAGCATGTCGAGCGCGGTAAGGCTCTGCTCAGCCACGTCCATGCAGGTGATGGCCTGCAACTTGTCGAGGAAGGCCGGCACGGCCAGCGCCACCGCGCCACTACTGCGGGGCAGCGCCTCTAACATGTACGTCAGGGCACGACACGCGTGGTTCATCTAGAATAGATATTATACATTAATACAAATTAACACTTAACACATTAACACTATCTCTTAACAAACTAGACCTATTTGCGTGTTTATCTTAATTGTATAATTGAAAATAGATGTATTTGGCTGTTTATCTTAATTGCATGTATAATTAAACATAAAAGTTAATGTAAACGACAAATTTTACACTCACAGGATTTGTCAAAGTAAATGTTAACCTCTCACTTTGACTTACATTCGTTTTGATGATAAATGAGGTGAAAATTAATATTTTTGGTTCTCGTTCTAGGCGAGGTCTTTGTTCCATAGCAACCGACTTCTGAGTGATAACGTAGAAAGTATACTAACCATATCAAAGTTGTGTTCAGCAGCGAGCAGATTGACGAGCGCGGGCACGACCTGTCTGACGGGGAAGCCGGCCAGCGTGTCCTCGTTGCCCATCACCAGCAACTGACACATCTCGATCACCGCCTGCAACTGCTGGCCTTCATCACCGGTCGCTTGCAGACCAGCCAGTAGTTGTGCCGCTTTGGATGCAGCTGGGAAGAAATTCATTGTTATTCAGAGTCTTTTAACTGGTTGACTCACTTGACTGTGAATGGTTGGAAATTTCCCTATTTGGTCTCAAATGTTATGCAATTTTCAAAGATAGTTACCGGAGTTGGCAGTGACAGTCCTATGCAGCAGATGCTGCATGCGCGGGCCCAGGGCTCCGAGCAGATGCGGCGGCAGACCGCGCGCCTCTAGCAGCGCCTGTAGACGGCCGACCTCGCCCTCCTCGGAGGAGGACTCCTCCGCGCCCGCACCGCCAGACCCACTGCCTCCCACGCCACTACCACCCCCGCCGCCGCCGGCGCATTCTTCCGACGATGACGACGCTGCAGGAATTAAATTTAAATAAAGCGTTTGTCACCAAACCCTCAACAGCATAAATCACACCACTATAAAAGATAAGTTTTATTTAGTACCATATACCTAATTACTTTATGCATTAAAATGAAATCTAGACGAAAGTTTGGACTATTCTATAATAGAGTTTTGTTGATTATGCCCAAAACTTACCTTTGCCCTTAGGCTTAGCCTCGCTAGCTGCGTTGTCAGGCATGGATGCTGACGCTGAAGCCGGCGGAGTGGAAGATGTGGATGCCACAGCACCCTGCCCAACAAATACAAACATTAAAACCTGTTATTCGGGATGGCTTACTCAGGCGACGCGATGAAGAAAAGCTATACTAATTTCAGGTCATTAAAGGCTTTTAAGGCAATGATAGTCATAATAGATAAATTAAACCAGTTCATTTCTAAATACAATAATAATTAATACAGTTAAGTTGTTAAATATGTGTGAGTTTACCGTGGTTAATGGCTGGGGGTGAGACCGGCTGGACGCACCACCAGTACTGGCGCACGAACCCAGACTGCTTTTGCCTGTGGAAAAATAATAATATTAAAATCGAAGCATGTACACATTGATTGCATCATGTATGAAAACACTCTAAAGCCTAAAAAACAAGTTACGTATTTATAAACACAAAGTAATATGGACGACCATACCTAAATAATCTTTTATTGTGTATCTGTGTTTCTGCTCGAAACAGTTAGATAGATAATTGTAGTATTGTGTATCATACAGAAATATTCATTAAGATATATTTTGTAGTATATTTCATAAAAAAAAAAAACATTTTTTTATTGAGTCAAGGCCCAGGCAGATATTATGACGAAGATATTGTAGTATTCATTAAATGTAATTTGTATTGTTATAGTGACATCGTGTTGCGTTACCTCGTTTGTCTCGACGCGTGGACGCTGGCTGCGGCTGCGGCATGTCGCGAGCCCGCGCTCGCCGTCCGCTTGCCGCGCTGCTGCCTGCGCCCTCGCTACCAGATACCTGCACACGAAACACGACAGTTAATACACCTGAAGTTATCCTAAAACTGCAACTAGACTGCACCATTCTCTAACTTTTGGGTGACCCAACTGTGATCAACAAGTTGATAATGGCGAATCCATCATTAAAAAGAAGAGTATTTGTTCAGCGGTGAACTACTTTCGTTTCATGAATAATGATGCTGAAACTCCTCCCCCCCCCACAATTAATTCACAATTATTTACCATGAATATAAATGTTATAGTAAATGAGTGTCTGTTGTTTACATTTTTCAACCACTGAACCGATTTTGATGATATAATATTAATATCTCTCCAAAGTGACTGTTCTAACATACACAATGTCGACACCAAAAGCTAATCTTCTATATATATAAAAGAAAGTCGTGTTAGTTACACCACTTATAACTCAAGAACGGCAGAATAGATTTGGCTGAAAATTGGTAGGGAGGTAGCTTAGAGCCAGGAGACCGACATAGGATACTTTTTAACCAATACTTTTTTTTTACTTTTTACCGAAAATCACGAACGGGGACGGGAATAAATGAGATTACGCGTACGAAGTCGCGGGCAGAAGCTAGTTTCTTATAAACATAACTCAATAATTTTACGAAATATCCTGTATTCTATTTTTCATTTGCTAATCAAAAGCTATGTCCACAGATCCAATCTACCATCCACGGATCTATTTTAATCCTTGAATCTAACTTCGTCCACATACATGAATGTATCATATATATTTCGTTCATCTATATATAAAACAAATTGCAAAGCCATTATATTGGAAGTACTTTCTTATCTAAGAAGCGTAACCTTAGCATTTATATTTTGAACTTATCACCATATTATTGAGCAATACTCAATAGCAAATGTCAACTAGTTTATAATAATTTGGAAGTGTGTCTGGTTGGTGTTAGGTACTTTACCTATATTCAGTACAAGTCGCAAATAATTCAACGTATTCGATACAATTTAATGAAGTAGAGCAAAACAATATACCTAGCGGTAGTAGTATCGATCGACTCAATAATTATTAGGCGCAATTCGTTGTATTTATATTGTGAGTATCAATTGCGTGGGCCTAAAGATCAGCAAGGCTAGCGTTTCAATAAACAGTGCAGTGGAACATAGATCGATATGAAAGTATGAACCTGTCGCTTAGACGCAGTGTCTTGTCGCTGACGCTGCGAAGTGCTGGCTCCCCTCGTCAGGCAAGCACCCAGGGTCGCCCCCGTCGCAGCTGCGATGCTCTGCACACAACACAACTCTCACTTGCCACACATCACAACACCGCGCACATATTTCCAAGTAAGCAATGCACTTCTACATATGAATTATTCATAATGTAATCTATAATGAACAACTATATTTTATTTTCGCCAAGATATCAGTTCTGACGTCTACTTCAAGACTGAGCGATCGCACGACTACCACTGATAATGATATTCGATACAATGTAATTATTACTACTGAGATTGTGATTGGTTGAACGACATTGCAATGTTTCCGGTTAAAAACAATCGTTATTTTTGGTAATTAAATACAATGCGCACGTACTTACAATCATTAACGAAGACGTAATTAAGAACATGGAAAATATCCAAACAGACAACAGTTGATTGGAGTCGTTAAATGATTACTGAGAATATTAAAAGAGAATAGTGAATAAAGAACTTTACCCTGCGCGCGTTAGTTTGACGCAAATAAGGAAGATCTCGCGGTACTATTAATAATTTGCTCGCCGAGCTGTGTGCTTTGGACGAACTTGCCTCTGTAAACAAAAACGTACATGCATTACATCAAATGATTATAAAGAGGTAAATGTTATCGCGATTATAACGATCGCTATCGATATTCACCTTGGATATCTTTGTCTGGTAGCGGCGGGGTACTGGGCGCGCTGGGCAGGCTGACGATGCTCTCGGAGGCGCTACTATTGCGGCCCGCTTGTGTTTGATTCTGTACAGCGTCGCTGGTCGGGTTGGCTGCAATATCAATATGCATTATCTGCGATGAATGACTGTGCTTGATACACGTGATAACACCACCTGATAAGCTGCGCGTCGAGACCTACATTATGTTCTAATACGAATAAATAGACAATTCGTATGTAACTTATCATTGCTCTCAATTCACGATTAATTTAATTAACACCGTTTAGAATCCGATGTTAAACATTTTATATGTAACCTAGTGTTAAGGTTGTAAGTTACAGTGGATAAATAATAAATTACCTGATTGGTCACTAATGACAGTCGAAGTTGGAGGCCCAAGATGGCTGTTTCTGTTGCGGAGCAGATACGTGCACGAAGTAGCAGAAGGTAGGTCGGCCTTGTCGAGTTCGTGTTTCGATGACCTTCCAGTACTGCTGGTATCTGTCTCGTCTTTGCTGTGCGAATCTATTTTAAATTTCTTTCGGCACTCTTCTACGTTGAGCAAACAGCTGCTTTTCCTGCTTGACAGAGAGCGATGAGCTGATCGCTTCCTCTTCTTCCCTTTTCGTCGACTAGCAGTCGGACTGTATACAGAATAATCTGAGTCTAGTAACTCTGTGACAGTAGACGAGCTGTATGGAGAATATGCAAAATCTCTTTCGTCCAGAGGCAGCAAACCGCCCTCCGATTGATTAGGCTGAGTAGAAGTGGCTGTAGCGTTCTGATTCAGTGGTTGTTGTGTTAATGTATTGGGTTTTAAATTATTCGGAATTTGCTCACAAGCACTCTCGCTGGATTTAAGAGCAGTCCGTGAGCGTGTGCAATATGCGACGCACTCCTCTGCACTGTTGTTCGATATAGTCTTACGTTTTTTCCTGTCATGCGAGGAAGTCCGTCCGCGTTTTGGGTGAACGCTGGATTTGTGGGCGTCACCGCCCTTGAATTCGGTTCTATCACAGCGTGTCTCGTATACGTCTGTGCCGTAGGACCAGCGTTCTGTTATAGAATAGTCAGACCTGGGCAGAGTGTTAATGAGGCGTGAGCTTCTGCGCAGCTCGACGTGAGTGTGGGGCTCCGCGTCAGACACGCGGCTGGACGAGTGTCGGCTGGTGGAGCGCGGCAGGGGTGACGTCACGTTACGTCTGCTCCGACGGCTGTGGCTCGTTCGACGCACCTGACGCAACCACCGACCGCCCACCACCCTGCTAGGAGAAGACCTGTACAACACACAGAACACATTGGTTATTCTTACGTATCTAAATTATTATTTACGTCATTCAATGCCTATTATGTTATGGTTATCAGAATGGTTCACAATTTAACACAATGCAACACATACTCTAGATATCCTGTATTTGTAATGCATTGAAAAAAAAACTTTTTGACAACTTCACTCAATAAACATTTAATAAGTATATCTAAAATAATACTGACAGCTGAGGGAAGAAGAGACAGCTGAATATTGAATAAAAATGAAATAATCTAATAAATATAACACTTTTGTAGGTAGGTTTAAAAAAAACATTTTAAACTCCTTTATATATAATAGTACATAGTATTAAAGTTCCGGATAGAATAGTAGTAATAGATAGCTTGTCAAATGTGGTATTTTTTAATTTGTTCAGAGTTTTTGTGTTCTTTCAGCTTCTTGTTATTTATGAAAAGAAAACAATAACCACTAGGAATAACATGATCAGGGTGTTTTTTTTTTTAAAAAATGAGCACAGGCATCTTCTGTACGTAACATGAAACTCACCACACCAGCATTTCCCCGGTTATCATTATAACAAAAGAGAGTTTCTCATGAGTTCATGACAATGGTTATGCTATCAGCTGTTAGATCTATAAATAAACTGTTAGCATAGCTCTATAATTTAATTCTGAATTTAGTCATTATAAACCAATAAAGCATTCTAGAATTTTTGATTACTACTATTATAGTTAATTAATTAACATTTATTTTGTTGTTAGTAATATATTTTTAACTACCAGTAAGGACAATACACATACATACACATTCAGGAAACACCACAAAACTGTCTCATTTTCACAGATAACATCAATTAATTAAATTTTACCTAAAAATATTTATAAATTACAAATAAGACAGAAAAATTTGACAAAATCGTAAGTGATATAAAAATAAGGTAGTTAAAAAAAATAGTGCCATAGGTTTGATTAAATACCATAGAATTGACTCATGTAGCTAGGAAATGTAAAAATCCATTGAATGGTAATATTATGTGTGAGGACAAGTTGCTAACTCACTATACTAAACTATTTACACATAGAATGAATACATTAAATGAGGTGGTGGCCTAGATTTTTTCATTAGTCAATAGACCGTGTAGTACCTACTCAAAGAAGCAACAGCTATTTTAATCTGAATACGTGTTTTATGTATGTACTTAAAATTTATTCAAAGAAGTATATATTGATTAGGGAAGTAAGTGAACGTAACGGTTCAAAGTTAATAAAAATAATCCTTTATTACCTCATTCTTGTCTCTGAATTACTTACTTGTTTGTTTACTCAGAGGTGTGGTTTTATTATGATTCATAGTTCATCAAACTGTGTCAAAATTAATTCAATGAATTTATTTACAGTCGGAATTTTGAACTATTAAAAATAAACACCACATGAGTTTATACATTTATAAGTAAGTGCCAAGAAAATCATTGTATCTGTGGCTAAACAAATGCCATGCAAAAAGTTTAATCACAATTTAATGTTTATCTTGTTCTTGTTTATAGAGACCAATGCAAGAAAAATTAATTAAAGTGTCCTCATACATTGCTTTTTCCATTTCAATGACACAATAGTTCTTGTGAAAGAAATGTGGTATTTTTCAACATTTCTTATCTTAGTCTACACACATATCTTTCTAGGATCTAATCCTCTTCGCATGAGCATGTTGATTGATAGACTGGTCCATGTTTGTATATTATGATGAATGTAAAACTGGTTGACTGGTAGAGAATGCCTATGTCTGTACACACATCTGTATAAGTTAAAAATAAATAATACAAGTACCTTGCACAGCAGTAGATAATTAAAAGCTGAAGATGATGATGAATGCTGCAATAGTGGTTCTATAATCTACAATTGATGAGTGAGATGAATGCTCCAAGAGTTGTTCTGTAGTCTACACTTAATGAGTGAGATGAAATGATGAATTCTCCTAAAGTTGTTCAATGGTCTACACTTGGTGAGAGTCAAAATGGAAATGGCTATTCCAAACAACAAATTGCAATGGTTGTACACTGTCTTTTATACCATAGAGATATGTACTGCCATAGACAGAACATAAACTGGCAATACTAAAACAAAAACCATACTGCTTCTTGAATGGTGTGAGCTTTATTGCTGCAAGTCCTGATGTGACTCCATGTATTCAAACACTATGGATTTAAAATGTGCAATGGTAATTTGAAACTACTGGCAACACCTATGCGCTTCTACTAACACTAAATGACTGAGTGTTGTGACATTTACCAAAATCATAATAATACATTTATACCTACATCATTACAAGTAATTAGGTAATGTGACAAACAGTCATCATGGTAACTAAATAGTTCTATAAGATAAGACCGTGGTCACAACACATAGTTTACAGAGTACAGGGAACCGCAAAATTAGGACAGTGTTGATGTTTGTGTCAATATCACATCATTGATAAGATATTATTGAATAGTGTAGAGTCAATATCACTGGATTAGGCAATACAAAATTGTTTACCCTATAAAAATCAGCTGATGTAGACTAAGCACGAATACCTGTAATGTCTTTGCTAATATCTCCTGTACCATGGCACTTCTCGCAGCTCATCTTTATGTGTAGCATTATAAATACAACGAGTTTGTCACTGCTTTGTAAAGATTGACAATTCTAAATAGATAATTGTAAATTCTTACCCGCTGGACTCTCTCGTGAGTGCAGAGTGCGACGACGGTGTGATGTGTTGCTCGGCCATAGACGACGCTGAGGGACACACGCGGCTGCTTGTGTGGGGCCTGCGCAGGCCGCCCGCGCGCGCTACCTGCCCGGCACCATGCCAGGGCGAGCGCTACAACGCTGTCTCCGCATCCACTGCACTACGCCACACTGACTCACTACCACATCACACCAGTCCACACTCGAGTTTGACCGTCTGCTTTGCTTTTCTTTCGCTCAACGCACTTAACACGTATCACCACGCGATATATGACACACCGTGAAACTATCTGCAACAAAAGATGAAATACACAGTCAGCGATCGAACAATGCTGCGTTACATAAACATTTTAACAATTAGCACTACCTGTCACCCAAGCGAGCAAATTCACCAAACTAATAACCGGACACGAATATACTGATAAATTATCACGTTGATTACTAAGAATTTCCAGACTTTCCAGCAACACGTTTTGTAGAAATTATTGTAATGGATGACACATCAAGGACAGAGCTACGATTTTCGAGTTATTTTTCAATCCATTCCACACAGCTGGCTGGCTGTCACGTATAGTATTGCCATAAAAGAAAAAAAAAGCTACCAATTCTGTCTTTGGTAGAATTAACAGTAATAACGTTTGATAGGAAAATGTGAATAAAAAATAAATAGAAGACAACTTGTAATCAAACTATTTAGAATGTTACAATATGAAACGTCAATAAACTGTAATTCGAACTGGAAACTGCAAAGGTTAAATAATTTTGTAGCGTATTACAGAAACGGGTATATTTTTAATTATCTTTGTAATAACATCTCAGTTACACGCAAATACTGCAGAGCAGAGATTCTTAACTAGACGGATCATTCAGTCTAATGATTTATTATTTCAAGTTTATGAAAATTCCTAAAATTACTAAAATAGAAACTTATCATGTTTTTGCAACATTTAGTAGCAATTGAAAATCAGCGTGCGAGTGAATAAGAAAGATAACAACAACAAAGCGAACGAAGAAGACCAACGTGTATTTATTTTTGATTTCATGGATATACATGGATTATTCTAACCTATGTTTTAAGTATAATATTAAAATATTATTTCAATTGATCTTTTATTAACGACGACGATTTTCTTATACGTATCTAGTAAACATGTTATACATAGTAATTGTTAATTAAGGAGTAGATTTTATTGATGAACTAAATGAAGTAAGTAGATATGATGGCCATGATGATGGCGAAAATATGATGGGTTGTTTATTAGTCTATTAACGTAGCTGTTAGTTGTTACATACTAAATGATTGACTAGCACTAAAATAGGTATCTTTTTATAAAGTTTAATTATACATCTACTTATTTAAATTTAATAACTATAAGGTATAAAGATAACGCACCAATTCACCGAATATTATTAAACTTTTTAACAGTCAGGCACGATGACACCGATGTGAACAGAATTAAAAGCATAAGTAAGTATCTAATACATATACTTAAATAATTACATTATCATTATTACACATTTCGTATTTTTTTGTATCGTAACTAGCCTCCATCACAGTCACAGTAAAAAACTTAAGATGGCGTACCTACCTAGTTCTATACACAACGTTAATGGCACCGCTAGCTTACATCAAAATATAAACATAAATACTTAATATTCATTGCGCGGTTCTTTATACTATGGCGGTGACCTTTGTCCTTAAATTTACATATCCCCATAATATTAAGAGTTAATATTGCCTTTTTTAAATGTTGACTTTCACTAATTTTATTGTGGTTGCTTTGTAGGTGAGTGGATAAGGATGTGTGTGAGCTATCGCGGTTCCGTGGGCGGGGCAAAGGGCCAGGGATAGTGGTGAACGACCGCGCTGTCGCGGTGTCCGCCGTCCGGTACGACGCGACGGGTGCGCCGCGCCGGCTCCTCGCTATATGGAATAAGCTTGAAAACGATTATGTATGTGGAAACCCGATGCAACTACATCGACGTGTCATACATAATAAATAGGTAGGGTAGGTACTGTTTTTGTTATTTAGGTATTTATAACGGTAAGTGACCTAGGTTTTGATGACGAACTCTGCATAATCCGGTTCGTGATGGTCATCTTTGCAGACTATGCTAACCCCTTAACGAATGACTGAATAAATCAGGTTAAAAATAACACTGAAAAATAGATGTCTAAAGAATAAAACTGCAGAAAATATAGATACCAGATTTGTAAACAGACATACTTTTCATGGTCACCGCAGTAAAGAAAAATGAACCTAACAGTAAATTTAAACTGTCGCGTCGGCGTCTCAGCACAGCAACAACAAACTATTATAATATTGTTTCAATCACACAGTGCACCTCAAGGAACTTGTTACGAGGACCAAATAAAGGAACCAGGTGCAGTTGCCAGGTAGCAAAATAACAATCGATTCACAGTTCACCTTTATTTTAAATTCGAGCTTATGTTGCTCAGGTAGGTAGACGAACTCTGGGATGCACCTAACCCGAGATGTTGGTCACGTGACGGGTTGTTGTTGAACTGCGCGTGAGTTGACCAAATAAAAAAACAACGCAAATCACCGTCCGTCGCCACTCGGCACAGTAACTAATTTGTTATTCCAACATGACCTTCCTTGACTCTGAACGTTTATCCTCTCATCGGCTAACAAAAACGTTACCGGCTCATTGTCTTAAAACGTAACATTGAGTCCGCCCCGCACTGACAACTACTTTAAATGTCACGGATGGATTGTTTTATTTATACTTGATTTTTGATTTTTTTTGTATGCGCGCTTTATCTGTAGTACTTCAAGTCAGAAGACGGTGCTACGTATTTTTATTGACTAATGATCTTTTAGTTTCTGGAGACCAGATAATATTACGAAATCTTAATCCTAGGACAATGTCCTCATTAATCGGTGATACTAATGATAAGCTATGTTTTTACTTCCTCCTATACAATATTTATGTCAAATGGCTCTCGTCGATAATCACACAAGAAGATATTTCGATGTTTCTTATATTTATGGATAATGAATAATAATGATACTTAATAAAAATGAGTGAGCACTCGGACTCAGATACTCGGAACAACCGAACTGTTTAGATTTTTTTATCCGAATGAGTTCTTGATCGATTGAACTATTCATTATACGATTTTGGACGTTGTAATTCATGAGATAAAACATATTTTGGTGTGAATTTGGATGCGTAGCGAGGGGCTTGTGCTACAAGGCCGCAGGTCGACAACCCAGCGGTGCTGCAGCGGCCACGTGCGAAACCAGCTCACCTCGACAACAACGCAGCGAACCGAGGATTGTGAAACTGGACAGTAACAAATTTCCAATATCTATTTTTATTATATCATAGTGAAACATTATGTGCATATGCTTCACTTCTTTTTTGTCATTAACCATATTTTTCTCATATTAGTAAACAAACATATTATACACATCAATGACAATTGGATATAAAGCTGTAATTAACCTATGAATATTTGTTTCATTAAGTCTCATATTTATAAATGACTATTATAACTTAATTTCAAACCGGCATTCAACCATTAGATTAAATAAAAAAGTGGGTGACTGTAAAATTGTGTTATTTTGAACTGGGATAACGCAGTGAACACTGAACGCAGGTAGAACATCCGGCCCTTAGAAGAAAAAATAAGCAAGTGCAAGTATTTGTTTGGAACGAAGACTAACTTTCAATAGATCAACTTACATATTATATAGGATGCACGGAACAAAATTGGCGAGCCAGGTGATAACCATGTTCATCGTTTAACGCTATTCTCGATTTATTGTGAAGCGTAGGTGTTGTCTACGAAATAACTTTTGTTTTCACTTAAACACTTTACACAACTACAAACCCAAAGTACAGTCTAATTCGGAACAAGAGTGTAACTAAATCAATGTGCAAGTTGAATTACGTAGGGTGCATGGTGTGCACCCTAGGGGAGCCAACTACCGTCCCACCGTGGCGCCCGCGCCCCCGCGTCCGACCAAACATACGCGACTTCTCTGGCTCCCTAGCGGTTCAACGACCCTTCAACAAGCCCCCTGTAAAATCTATAGCAAGCCAGACAGATCAACTCCCGTTCATAAACAATCGATAGGCGCCGCAGACAGACAGGTACAGATCTATATGTATGTAGCTCTAGCTGCACTCAATTTGATATGCACGGGCTAGACGGGTTTTGGTAGGTAGCTGTATTTATTGGGTACAGAAGCAGATGAAAATTAATTAATCAACTTTTATATCAGATTTCCGACCAAATAGCGAATTGCAGGTACTTAGTTTAGTAGGTAAGAATGCAATGCGATACTATTAGGATTAGACATTACATTTTTGTATGTACTTACCTACCTAAGTATACCTAATTTATTTTACTTGCCATCTAAAATTTGGTAAAGCTGATATTGTTATTTAATACTTCAAATAAAATGTTTCCTTTTAATGAAAGTAAGTCATGATTTACTATACTTATACGAAGTGCATTGCTAACGATGTTAGACGCTGAGATTCAGTAGGTCGGTTGCATGCGTATAAAAAGTTGTGACTATTTCTGTACAGCCAGTTGCCGCCACGGACACACTATACGAGAAATAAAACGGCGCCGTTTGCCATGTCGCTGAGCGCTCCCAACAAGTTTGTGAGAATGTGTGTCGCAAGCACTGTGGCTATCCATGTCCGCATACATCACTGTTACCAAGCTACCAGCTATTTACAAAGCGACGATGTAATGCATATGAAGCGTGAAGGTGCGGGAATACAACGTATGAAACTCGGCAAGTGGTTACTGCAATACCACGCGCGACTGAAATAAACGACGATCAATGAAATTGATTTGTACTTTGTAAAAATGAAAATATTTCATAAAGTACAAAGGTATATGTTACCTAGACCTACAGACCTAAAAATACTCTATTTTACTTAACACTTAAAAAAATATGTCCATGCAGATTTAAGTACTAAAGCGAAATAAAGAATACATTTTCATAATGTGAAACAAACATTGATGTTTGTACAAGATCGTTTTTGTATGTC